CTGAGCTAAATTAACATTCTTCCCAATAAAGGAAGGCTTTGCAGAAAGTCCTATATCTGCTACTGAGGCTGAAAAACATCCATCTCCTTGCATGCCATATATTTTCAAAGTCATGTATTCAGGGTATTGGTAAAAGAACCCCCCCGCCCAATTCCATTATGTAAAAGACTGCTTATCCTGCTGCAGATGTGCCCTTCCCGAGTCCTGGGTTTGCTGAGATATGAAGAGCCCTCAAATGGCTAGTGGACCCAGGGGATGCAGATTTTCTCAGTAATCCATGTATTTTCCATGTGTGCCATGACTTTAAAAGGATGGGAATGCAATGCCTCAAGTCATTTAATGAAATATCTGGAGGGCACTGTTGGTGATAAGCACAAGAAGCTACCTTTAGAGACTCTCAGAAGGCAAATGGAACAATGGGAGTAGATGGGAGGCCTGGCCAAGGTCAGAGATGTAATTGGTGACCTTGGAGGAACGAAGCCCGCTGCTACATCAAGTGACCCAACCCTCAGACTCATTAGCAAGAGGCCCCTTTGGCACTGCACTCACAGCCACAGAGTGAGCTCAACATTTGTCGAGCAAGACGAAGCCATCTCATTCAAGATTCAAGGCAGGCTGGCACTTTGAACTTTGTTCTTATTGTAGTCATGTAATTATTTTGTGAGTTCTTATAATTCTCTGAGAAGAAAAAACAAGTCTCAGAAGTACAGTATCCAACACTTTTTCGGGTTACAATGTTCTTATGAACTGCAAGAAACTAATAGTGCTTTAAAAACAAAACAAAAAAAACTACATAAAGGCCAGGTCAGCATTTCCAATATAAACTCTTGTTTCCCAAGGTGTATGCATTCTGAAGAAATTTGCTGGAGGGTAGAACTTGGCATATACCTGTGACCCTGAATGTCCACATCTCATTTCATAGGTACTTGTAAATGAGTCTTCATATTCTCTACATTTGGCATCTGGAATTTTTAGAAATAAGAAATGGTCTTAATAGTGGTTTCTGAGCTTAATGTCAGTGCACACAATTCTCAGACTATGAGAGAACTCAGATTCTGAAAGTCCTGTTGCATAGATTCTGTTATTGTAATGCTGTGTATTAATGGGAAAGGAAAGTAATATAAGGAAACAAGTGTCAGAAAATGTTGTTGTGCTGTGAAAGGCACAGGACTTAGGCTTTCTTTGCCACTTTTTCTACCCAAATCTCTCTTCTGCCATATTTCTTGTAGTTACCCCTGTTATGTCTGGTGGGTCTAGAGTCTAGGGGTCTCCAGATTCATGAGATTGTCTCTCTCTTTGACATAGAAAGAGGAAGAGGAGCCAGAGAAGACCAGTGCAAAGTGAAAGTACTATTTATTTACAAAAGGAAGCAATGAAAAGCACTGAACTAGTAGGAGCCAGAGCTGGGTGCCCACCTAATCTGAGCTGCAGCCCTCTTTCATGGGGTAGGGATCCCATCTCCACCACCCAGAGGGTCAATACTTGATTGATTGGACATTGGGCTTGTTGCTAGGGACAACATGCCAGGAATAAGCTATTTCAGTAGGCAGTCTGAGATACATTGGGTCCAATACATCTCACATCCTTTTAGACTTTAATTTCCACCCCAAAGCCTAGGTCAGTTTTCATAATGATCTATTTACTCCTATGCGTCTGAAATATTCACACTTTAGAATTGCCCCAGATACAGAACATGGATATGCTAAACCTGAAGAGTTGGGTAACTAGGCTAAAATTTAAAAAGTCAGAGAAGTCCAGTTGGCAGGGTTTCCCCCATCCCTTAGCTCTTCTGCCAGTGCCTTCCCATGTAAGCAGCAATCAGTTGTTGAAAAGGCCATTTTAGAACAGTCAAGTCCCTGTAATTGGAAAATAAATAGAGAAAATAATGAATAACCTCTAAGGCTGGTTGCAGTGGGCTAAACCTCAGGGCTTGTGATCTTGAGAGAGAAAAGCATCTTTTAGACCATGGATATACAAGTCAAGGACCCTAAAGTGCATGACAAAACCCTGAGATCCAATGGCATAGAAAAAGGTTTAGTAGCACCGTACATGCAGTGATATGATCTGCATCTTCCTATTAAGGGTCCCTGTGGAGATTGAAGCCTCTTCTTCAGTGGGGTCTTCATCTTCCTAATACTTCCAAAATCAAGAACAAAATGACAAGAAAATGACTAGAAAATCCTGCATGTTTTTATCCTGGTATTGGGAAATTCACAAAATTTTACCACTTGCTTATAGCAGAGTTTTTTTGTTTGTCTGTTTGTTTGTTTGTCTGTTTGGTTGTTTTTTGGAGCAGAGGAGGGGCTGGAGGAGATAAAATATTCAAATGTTTGCTGAGCATCAAATGAGACTATATGAAAGGCACTTAAGGTTAAACTATTTACCTATGAGATATCTACTAATGTGTTAAGCACTTTGTGTATGTTGTTGTTTGTTATTTCATTCCTGTGGCTGTCTCACAGTGTGCTAGGGGTCATTCTTAATTCTAGGGATTTGACGCCAAACATATACCCATAGCAATCCTACAAGGAACGAAAGATCCCAAGAGGTTAAGGCTCTTGTAAGAAGATTTGCACTATGATTCATTGACAGTGGCCATATCATAAGCCACTGTTCTTCTATAAAGCCCCAAAGAAATGGTAGCTGTTGAGCTTTCAGATAGAGCATGCACTATAATTATATTTCCCACCATACCTAAGAGTGCTCAGTTGTAACTCTTACCCAGTGCTAGACTTTTTTAAAATGCAACTAAGGAAAAAATTTTTTCTCACATTGTAGGTTGTCCCTTAGTTCTATTGACGGTTTCTTTTGCAGTGCAGAAGCTTTTTAGTAAGATGAGAACCCAGTTGTTGATTCTTTCTGCTAGTTCCCGTGCGAATGAGGATTTGTTCATAAAGTCTTTTCCTAAGCCAGCATCTTCAAGAGTTCTGCCTAACTTATCTTCCAGCAAGTTTAGTGTTTCTGTTTTAATATTTAGATCTTTAATGCACTTGGATTTTAATTTAGTGCATGATGAAAGATAAGGGTCTAGTTTTAATCTTTGGCAGTTGAGATCCAGTTTTTCCAACACCATGTATTAAAGAGGCTATCTTCCTTCCAGTGGGGATGGTCAGCTCTTTTGTCAAAGGAGACAAAGGACTATTATCTAGAATATATAAAGAACTCTCAAAACAATCAGTCCCCCCAAATACAAAGACCCTATTCAAAAATGGGCATCTGAAATGAACAGACAATTCTCAGACAAAGAAGTAAAAGCAGCAAGTAAATATATGAAAAAGTGTTCCACATCACTGGTCATTCCAGAGATGCAGATGAAAACAACACTGAGATTCCACCTCACCCAAGAAAGAATGGCTGCTATCAAGAAATCAACCAACAACAAATGTTGGCGGGGTTGTGGGGAGAAAGGAACCCTTCTCCATTGTTGGTAGGAGTGCAGACTGGTGCAACCACTGTTGAAATCAATATGGAGATACCTCAAAGAGCTGGGACTAGAGGTTCCATGTGACCCAGCCATCCCTCTGCTGGGTATATTTCCAAAAGAAATAAAAGAATCATACCACAGTGATATATGTGCACCTATGTTTATAGCGGCACAGTTTGTAATAGCTAAAACTTGGAAACAGCCCATTTGCCCATCAGTTGGAAACTGGATAAAGAAGATGTGGTATTTCTATAAAATGGAATACTACTCAGGCATAAAGAATGAGAAATTAGATTCATAGGAAAATGGGTACATATTGAGGATATACTCCTAAGTGAAATAAACATGTGTGAATACCGAATAGTTTCTCTGGTGTGAAAAACTCTAATAGTACATAAGATCCTAATGAGATAATTGACCATGTGAAATAGGAAGAAAAGGGCTAAAGCTGTAGGGAAAGTGGAAAAGGTAGAGGAAAGGTAATAAGGGAAAAGAAAAAAAATATGACAAAGTGGAAATAAAGTATTTGTAAATGGGGAGGGTAGGAGGGGGTGAAGGGAGGGCAGGGACAAGGGGAAAAAATGAGAACCAAGACCTGTCATGTAAAGGCACAAGATCCCAATAATGAATGTAACTGTACTGTATACCTAAAATGTACCAATAAACTCAATAAAAATAAATAAATAAATAAAAATAAATGCAACTAAGGAAGTTTCATTGCAAGATGTCATTGTAAGAATAGAGACTTTCTAGATGACAGTGAGATGTTGGAACCTGGTTCTTTGGCTTGGATAAGCCACATAGCCATTTCAGAAATTTAAAATATAGGAAACATAATTAACAGTATGTCACAGACATGGTAAAATCTGTACAATTCTAGAGAATAGTGGGATCTCTAGAAGTAATGAGAAGCCTAAAGAGTACAGATGAGTTTTGTCATTGCGTAAAGTGAGAAAGACGGAAAGTTGCTCCCTCATCTTTTCAGTGGTACTTCAAGTTGAATGAGGTCAAAGGAAGTTCACATGATAAGTGATGTTAGACCCTGTGCTGTGTGAATTATTTGTCCTCACAGTCAAATTGAGAGGCAAAAGATGAAGTTAACTGCTGAATGGGTGGCAGTTCATGCAGGAGATATACAATTACCTTTGCTAGGACATCAATTTGTTCTGTATGCACATTACTCATTCTAGTTCAGTTAATAAATTTCACCTAATTGAAGTCACATGATTCCCAGCTTGAAATGAGAATAATCAAAAATAATTGTTGGTCTCTAATGACCGTTCCTTGTCTATTATAACTCTGCTGAACCATCTAGGAAATATATGCATCTGACTACTGCTGCCTGTAACAGGCTGGCCTTCTTCATTTTGAAAAGGGCTAATTTCATATTCCATTCAAGGTCTGTTTCATACACCTCACAGGGAATTCACCATACTATTTCCAAATATTTATTATTTTTCTTTTTCTTATAAATGCTTCTTTCTAGGTATCACCTTCTCCCAGATCATACCCGAACATCAGTGATCTTTTCGACCTTTTCGGTGAGCCTTCTCTGATCCCTCTGTTTCTGTCTCAGAATCAAACTGCCAGATGAGAACACTGGACAGTGGCATCGGAACCTTCCCACTCCCAGACTCAGGAAATCGTGTGACAGGACGGTACATGTGCCAGCCAGACCCCTCCGAGGACACCAAGCCCCTCCTGTCTGTCCAACAAGCCCCTTCCGCAGCCTCCTCCATCAGAGCCCAAACCCTTGAAAGAGAAGTGCCTTCCTCCACAGATGGCCGGCTCGCTGCAGAGACAGCCATTGTTCATTCCACATCGGACCCCATCATGGTGGCCAGAGGGACGCAGCCTCCTCAGAGTCGCCTTCCCAAGCCAGCCTCCTCAGGTAGAATGCCAGTGACCTCTCAGAAGAGTATTTTTTCCCAACCCATAATGGCAAAAATAGAAAGTTTTCCCCAAGAGAAGTGTAACTCAGTGACCTACTCTGTCCTATGGAAATAAGGAATTTTGAACATCCCTAATGTCTTCCACCAAAAACTAAAACAGTATATATAAAGCATCATTGACTCATAGAGTTACCTTAAGAAGTGCACACATGTAAAAAGAAGCAAATGTGTAGGCACTGTTATATGGATATATAAACTGATTATGGAAGAATCATAAATATACATTCATGGGATTTCATCCTATGAAACATGGGATATAAACCAATCTATACCCAAGACATAATATAACTAAAATGTTGTTGGCCTCTCACCAGAAACCGTATGTCTTCCTGTTTGTGTATGTTTATATGTTGGACCAGAACAGGCTTAGTGTAGTAGATCAGCAGTAGATTGTGCAGTAGCTACAGTGGGAAGAAACAGCAAGCCTTTCCTTTGAGAAGCACTATCCTTCATCGCAGTCAGTTGAAACAAGTTTTTCATGATTAAAGACAGAGTCAAGCCAAGGGTCAAAGTTCTTTCATGGTTCCCTCAAGATTAAAAATATTTATTGCAGGCTGGGATGACACTAAATAATTTTTAACATGTGTGGCTTCTGTTGCTCTGAGGACATGCAGACATACATAAACTGCAACTCTGAATCAAATACTTTCATCTACAATTAGATAATTAGAAAGGAGTTGCAAGTGGAGATTATACTATCAAGTTCTGAGAAATTAAAAAAGACTTCTAAGTAAGTGTCTTTAAATGAATGTATTGGGCTACTCCCATAGCTGAGTTCTTCCTCCATACCATAATACCAGCTGCCACGGATGTTTGACTACTAACTCCTGCTCATTCCCAGCCCCAGGTCCATTTTTAAAGGCTGTGATGCACATTATTTTAGAAATAAGTGCATTGTTAATTAATGACACAGCCTCCAGAGTCTCAGGGGCAAAATCTTAGTTATAGATTATATGCTCTATGCCTGAATAGTCACATGTGTGACCTCAATTCAGCAGCGGGCTGCTGAGTAGACTCCATGATTAAACACTGTCATTATAACAAATTGAATAGAAACCACACACCTTGAATTGCTTCGAAAGAAGGGGATAGGACAAAGATTGTTCCGATCTTGCTGTAATATTCACTGCACTGGATCTCTAAGGTTTGTGTCTTAATTAAATTGTCACAAAGACTTGCTTTATAAAAAGTAGTATATGGTAGAGAGCCAGGTGAACACGGCAGGACGTTTTTGGGTCAGCCATCCTTAAACGTTCTATCCACCATATGATATCTGTGGTCTACAGGCAGCACAGTTTCTCCAAAGCTTCTTTTTCTTCAGTGACCATTTGTTATTCATTTGAAAAATTAGAGATTGGAAGAGTAGCTGGAACAAAAAGAAAATGAAATTAAGCTTGCTTCCAGCAGTCGCTTCCTGTTTTACATACACATCGGAATGGGATTTTCTCTTATCCCATTTAAAAATGGAAGTCATTGTATCGGTCTCTCAGCACTGATAAAAACACAGTCGGTTTGCTTCTCCTGAGGAGCAAAATGCTATGGAGAGGCTGTCGCTGCATGTCCTGTTGATAATTGTAGAGGCTGGAGAATAATAATAGCAAATCTGCTCTCTAGCAGGAAGAAGGACTACACTCTGCAGGCTATTCTCCTATTATGGGTAGTGGAGAAATGTTCTTTAATAATCCTCCACTAACTCCATCCTTACCATTCCAAGTGTGGTCCATGGGCCAGCATCATGAGCATCACCAAGGAGCCTGTCAGAAATGTTGATGCTCAGAGCCCTCCCACACCTTCCAAATCAGAACCCGCAACTTAGCAGAAGTGCCAGTGATGTGGATGCCTGTTGAACCCACTAAGCTTGAGAATGCTGCCCAGAAAGATCTTTTTTAAGAACCTCTGAGCAAAGCCTCCCATGTACATTATTGAAAGGGACCTTGATAGGTATTGTAAGAAAATAAGTGTTACCTGCTCTTAAGTTATAAAAGCCTGAAAAGTTGAATCCTTCCTTTGGAAACTATGACAACACCTATTCACACAGTGAAGGCTCTGAGATATTCTCTAAAATCTGTTGTCAGATAAATAACATTAGATCAGGGATAACCTGAGTATTTCACAAATACTCTGCCTTCTGAATCTTTTCTAAGCTGAAAAATCTCAACCTCTTTTGTAAAACACTGGGTTCCAGGACAGTTTGACTTACGCTTGCCAAAGTGGACTTCCTTTATAAATATGTGTGTGGACAATTATGCAGATATTTTAGGTAGCGCAGACCATGGGAGATAGAATTGCAGGAAACTCAACCTTGATTGTTTTCAAACCTTTTTATGATTTCTGAATATCTCCCACCCCCCCTAAAGTGGTAAAAGGTTGATAGTTGATTTGTAATTTAATATACATTTTCTGTTTTAGGAAAAATCAGTTTCCAAAATCAGAATGAAGCAGAGCCAAGGCCTCAGATTTGCTCATCACTTGAATATGCTGCAGGTACAGTGACAGGCAAACCACTTCCAGACTGGGGCAGTGATGGCACTGCTGCGGAGACACAGGTAAGGGCCAGTGGAAAGGGGGTAGACACTGTAAAAACGAACTTCTTAAACTCATTAGTGACAGACTTAATCGCAACTTCTAAATCAAACTTGTTCACTTGTTAAGTATGAAGATCTAAGGCTCAGCGTTTTCTCTGAACTGTTGTTAAGGAACACTATGGGTTCTCGGGATACCTTTATTCTGAGGAATTCAATATACAATATTCAATATACACTGACATTCTTAGGGCATGTATTCTCTCCTCTGATTCAACGCTGGGGACTAAATCACTTACCCAAGCTGAAGGGCAGCATTCAGAATATTTCTTGTTAGCTCAGCAGTTTCCTTCATCTTGCTCCCATGAGACAGGGGGAGCGAGTATAGTTCCATCCTTTCCAGAGCAAATAACTTTGGAACAGTCATGTGACTTACCAGCATCCAAGAGAGATGAATATCTTCAGTGCCCACTATTTTTCCCATGGATTCTTCCTCTCCTCTGAGGTGATACACATAAGCTTCCTGGCACGTGATTGGTTGTAAGGAGGAGCTCATGGCTCAGGGGATCTTTGTTCATCCTCTGGGTATTACATGGTATTTAGTCCTGTTTTCCTCTTCCAGCTTATTACTGTGACCATTTTTAGCCTGCTCCCTATTTCTCAGCTTCTCCTGGGGCTGACATCCTACAGGATTTCAAGGTCTTGGGTGGTGCCTCCTAGTGAAAAGGCTGGAGGAGGGTTACAGAGCTTAATCACCAGAGCTTCTCGGCCCTTCCTTTCCTCTTCTCACTTCTGCGGCTTTGGCTCTCCCAAAGGTCGCATCTGGAGCTCCCTCCAAATCTTTACTGGTTTCTGCCCTGCTGTGGTGAGGATGGCCAAGATTTTCCCACATCTATATTTTCTACACCTACTGTAACCAGGCTTCTCTCCGCCTTGAGTGTCATGCCTTGAGAGCACGTACAAGCGGGAAGAGATTTCTGGGTCCACAGCCTCAATGTGCTGCAGCGAATACCAACTCTGGCAGCATCCTTGACCAAGTTCAGGATCCTAGTGAAAGTGGGAGTGAAAAGAGGCTGAAATTGGGCCCTCTGAGTTCTCTGTCTAGTTCTTAGAAGGACTATCTCCCCAGGAAGCGGCTTTGTGAGGCAAAGGAACAAACTGCTGTATTCTTCCCTGCCTTAAATTAAATGCAGAACCATTAGGGCCCTCCCAAACCAGTTGTCTCCAAACCTGAGCTGATCTGAATCACCCGGAAGGCTACACATGTCTAACGTGGTATATGTGAAACCTAAAAATGTCATGCATTTCCAGGACACACTGACGCTGCTGGCTCACAGAACACAGTAGTAGCAGTGCTACCACTGTTTCATGAGACTCTATTCTTGCTTTAGTGACTAGAAAGTGAAGAATCTCTTAAGATAATCTGAGTTGGAAGGGAAGTGGAGGAAACCAGTTTGGAGCCAGCAGTTGATGACGGTGGCAAAGGCATTTGAGCAATACCACAAAAGTAAAAACAAAGTAACAGTGGTAGCCCAGAGGGGACTTGTGCTCTTCACATGTCCTGGCTGGGCAGTGCTCCCATGATATGCATAGCCATCAGTACACTCTCTGTCTGAAGTCCCCTTCGAAGCTGCTCATCTTGTGCTGGCTGTGCGCACTGACAATCCTGCCCTGACTTAAGAAAGCCACCACTGGGTCTTGGAACTTTGAACCCCGCTTCACTGACTGCCAGGTAGGGAAAGGTGAAGCAAGAATTAGCTTTACAGTCCAAGGACCCTCAGTGACTGGCTCAGCTAGTGTTTGCTGAATGGAAAGATGAAGGAATATGTTTCGTCACACCCAGAAAGTGTTCCAAGAATATGGTTTTAAGTACTCAGTTAACATTTCTTGAGTAAGTTGGTGAATGAGAAAGGAAATGAACAAATGAAAAAAATGAATAATTGCTTGAATTTATAACCCCAGCTGAGGGAGCTTCTAAGCTAAAATATATTATTCCAATTCCCAACCAACTGACACCTTTCTAAACAAGCTTTTCAAACCCATCACAAAACTCTTCAGAGGAGAATAACAGGCACCGAGAGGGTAATCTGCAAACATAAAAGTGGAGCCCAAATATCACCCTTTTCCCCTGGCACAACCATAGCAGCTGCAGTCCTGGATCCAGTATTGTACTTGTGCGCAGAGGGGAAAATGGTTCCTGTAATATCAACCAGCTCAGAAACTGCCTAACATAGCATTATTGCTGCTCAAGTAACATCCTGGGCGGTCAGGCTGTGTGTGCCTGTGAGCGAGAGGGGAAACTGAGTCCCCTGACCCATGAACTGTCTATCCATAGATTGGAGGGAGAGAGAGGGGGAGAAGGGGAGAAAGAGAGGCGGGTGGGAGAGAGGCAGCAGTTGCTTACTTTTCTCAAAGCTACCTTCATTTTGTGGGTAGAAATATAAAGTAGGCGAACAGTTCTTTTGTTCCCAAGGTTCTTGTCTATAATGCTCTCACATACTTGAACACCAACGAAGAGATCAGTTAACTAAATAAGCCTTTAGGCTTGAAACAGCAGCTCATGATAGACACTTCAGAAAAATGAGACCCACAAAGCAGTGTGCACAACGCAGAGTGGGTGACTTTGGGGGCCTGCCAGAGCCTGGGACAACAGCGGGGTGACTTCCTTGGCTTTATTATTACAGGCCCGTTTCTGCAGTCCTGGTAAATGAAAACACTGTGCCAGCCCCTCGGGAGGAGGCAGAGAAACCAGCCAACCAGAGTTCTTCTTGGGTAGAGGGGGCTGGGCAGTGGAGGTGGAACTGCACACACAAACATCGTGCATGCATGTGTAAACAGTCTCACGTCCTCTTCAGATACTCTGCCCCATTTATATTTGTGTGAATGGTTTTCACAGTCTCATATTACTGAGTTTAGGGCCAGATACTAAACATATATACATGGTCTGCCAGGGGTAGCAGTGACAGTGACAGTGATCTGGACTATGAAAATAAGATTTTGAAGCTGGAAGGGGGAAGTTAGTGAACACCATAAGGAGCCCCACTCCAGGCAACACCCAGGAGCAACCGGCACGTGCACGCTTCTGTCTCTGGCAAGCTGCTGAGTCTGCTTTTCACTGTGCCCAGCCCCCACCCACCTTGATTTTTCATCTCAGCTCCATGTCCCTCCTGAGATCTAATTTTGTGGTACGTACAGAAGATTGTCTTTGTGCATCAATTTGTTTCTGGGTATAATCTTCATGACATTGCAGTGCAGTCTGCACTTGATCTTAGCCAAAAGGCCGAGAAGCGATTGCAGTGCAGTCTGTAAGGATTTTATTTCCAGATCTAGCATCTCTAAAACAGCCTCCAATTGAGATATCTCAATAATGAAGGAATTACTATAAAGATAACTTTGCTCTTAATTACATACTTTGGCAAGTTAAATCATCCAGTGGGCCATGGATGGAGCTTTCAGGGCTCTTTGCTAACATCATGCTGCGTAGCTCAGCCCTATGAACATGTCTGTATGTGCTTTTGAGGCTCCCTCCCTGTCTTTTTCTTTTGATCAAAGCCAGCAGTAGAAAAATCATCATCATCCCTTGGTGCATATATTATATATTATATATATTTTATATATATATAATATAATTATAATAATTATATAATATGTGTGTGTGTATATTTTTTTTTCAGATAGCACTTCCTTAAAGATATGAGGGCACACAAACCCCTAACACAAATGAGATCTATAGTCTGCTTTTCTTCTAACCATTCTGGATTTTTTTAGAAATTTTTTAATGATGCAATGAAGGATTATGCTTCTCCTCTTAGTCAACTTGTTCACAAATACTAATTTAGAAATTATATGTTGGAACTATGGCTTTCTTCTTGAACATAAGACTGGTATGCTGCTTCAGGGAAAATGGAATCTAGTGATCCTTTCAATCTCAAATTCTCAGATGACCTGGGTGTTTGTAACACAGGGATAGAAGGGGTAAAACTGACATACCACAATAGCCAGTTAATCTAACCCGTCACTTTGTTCCTTGCTCCTTACATCAGGGAAGTAGGACCCATGGGTGAGTCACACAGAGGCCTGTGGTCATATTCTGCTTCTGTTCCTATAATAAAACACCTAAAACTAAGTGATTTAAAGGAGTGCATGTAGCTTATAGTTTTGAAGTCCAGGAGCACGGCACCAGCATCTGCTCAGCTTCTAGTGAAGGCCTCACGATGGAGGCTTAAGGGAAGGAAGCATGTGCAAAAGGAGAGGGAGAGAAGGAGCTGTCCTGCTGTAGGACAGTCTGCTCTCATGAGAACTAACCCCCCATGAGAAGGGTGTTAATCCATTCAGGTGTTGATCCCTCATGATCCCAGTCTCTCAACACCGTTACATTGGGACCACACTAAACATGGCTTTCGTTGGAGACAAACTATGTTCAATAAACTGTGTAGCACTTACCAAAAAGAAATAGCAAATAGCCCTGATGTTTTAGTTAGCAATCCCTAGTGGTTCTCTGCAGTTCATCAGTGTCCCTACCAGTTGGGACAGAAGGGAAAAGGAATTCACTGTGCTAGCCAAGTAAAGTCACCTAGGACCAGGCCAGCTCTAGTCCTAGTTCTTTCCTTGACCCCGCCCCCAGGGGTCCATAGTGAATTGCTTCACCAGCCCTTACCTGCCCACCCAAAAAAACAGTTTTCTGGGCCTCTTCCAGCTGGAAAGTTCTGCCTCTTCATTATGGAGCACCTGAGCAGTATTTGTTTAAGCCGTCTTGATAAGGCCAGTTTGCCAGAGATAAGTATATGGACAGAGATGTCTGTCAGGCAGTAGACAAGAGACACAATAAACTGTTGTGGTAAATGTGTGTCATTTGTTCAGAGAAGGTAAATGCTATGAAAAGACAGGTGAAGTAGAGTGAGGGAGAAAAGGACGAACTGGGTAAGAGAGGTGTTGTCGTTCAGATGGAGCAGTCAGAACGAGCCACGCTGAAAAGGCACCTTTGTGCAGAAGGAGAAGAGGGAGGAGCCAGGAGGACGGGGGAC